ACTCTGAATCTGTAACCTGTGTTAACATCACTGGTCATCACTGATGTACCAGATCATCATCTGCAACCTTAGGACTATTTTATCCTTGAGGTAAACCCCCCAGAGCCTTCTGTACCCATTTTTACAGCTGACCTAGGTATTGCTATGGCAGAACCAACCATCATCTAATTGCCATCATGCAAATATATTCAATTTAAATCATAGCATAAAAAGAATAACTGATATATTAATCTCTAAGTTTAAGAGCTATTGATTAACATAATGTTGATAAAACTAGAATTGATTGCTTTGAATTTGGTTTTTGATTTTCACTGTGAAAACTGTAATTAGGATAAATATTTGCATAATATTAAACAAAAAATTTCATCAACTTAGTTGGTAAAATAATCTCATGAAAAGGTTCAATAAAATGACCAAAAAATTGTTCTGAGCCAGTTACAACATGATTAATTAATCCACCAGACATTGCATGAAAGTCCAATGCCTCTTGAACAGTAAAATTATAGTGTTCCAAAGTTCTATTTTTTTTGATATTAGTTTGTACAATTAGATTTAATGATGATAAAAAATTTTGTAGCAAATAGAAGTAAGCTTTGGCTTTAATTTGTTGAATATAAATTTGATGATTAAAATTTTTTAGCACTTCTAGCTCCATATTATGATTTGAATTAGAAAACAAACCAAGTTCTCTAAAGTAAATAAATTAAATAAATAAAGTAAATAAATTAAATAAATAATGTAAATAAATTAAATAAATAAGATAAATAAATTAAATAAATAACATAAATAAAAATTAAATAAATAACATAAATAAATTAAATAAATAACAATAATTATATTATTTAAACTATATATATATATATATATATATAACTTGCCTATTATAATGTTCATAAGTAAAACACCAGAATGAATACCATGGTCTATAATGCATACACTCTTGTAAATATTTGTGCAAGTGCATATTAGGAGAGCAGAAATATTTCTTATAAATTTGCTAAGCATATTATAAAAATGTTATCATAGCTATATGACTAGCTTCAATTTTGGCTTTAGTTATAATTCTTTGACTCAATATTGACATCGCAGTAACAAATGCTTGCCAACATCATCGATCTACTTCATCAAGAAATTTGTACAAAACATAAGTTGAATAGATCAAAACTTATATCTTCTATTGATCAGCATAAGCACATTAAAACCTGATATGATCCTAAAATTTATACATCACATATCAACTGGTAAAGGAGTTGCATCAATTAGGTACTGAATTTTATATAATTGTTTAATACCAAGCTTTGGTGAATCTTCATTCATTCATGCATGATATACTATATATTTATTTGTATCTAAAAATCTATTATACATGAGGCCAATTATAGTAAATCAGAGTATATCAATATATAGCAACTCTAAAAGGCAAGTCTATCAAATTCTATATTGGTAAAATTTTTTTTTGTATTGCTAAATTACTAATTTTATATTGAAATGCTATTTGTCAGTGTTCAGCATTAGTCAATCATGGATCATCCTGGATATAATTAGAGTAATCAAGTTTTGAAGATCCTAAAAAACATGAAAAAACTCAAGTACATTTGCTGCATGCATGTTTTAAAGAATGTGAAGCTAGTCCTGTAATCTAATTAATGTAATAATAATTAACAAGTTATATACCTGAAATTAATAAACCCAATATATGTTTTTACTATTAATTACAAAACAAGACCAGAATGTATGACAGGTTATGCTAATTAATTAACATCACCAATATTTAGTTGATTTAATTGTTAGAGATTAGATTGAAAGGAGTTAAAGAATGATTTAAACAAAACTAAACCAAAATTATAATAATATTAGAAGCAGTTCCACAGACAAAATTTTGAAGTAAGAAAATTTTTTTTTAATTTTGTCGATCAATCTGTTACACATTCTGGATATGCGATTACAAAATAATATACAGTGTACCTTATACGCAGCTGGTATATCACATGCAATTTGAATTAATGCACAATGAAATATATGTTCAATTGAATATAAAGTGGTTTTAAACAATTGACCACTCCAAAGTTGTTTTAGTTTACTAATTATAGGTTGAAGATAGTTTTGTAATTGGGTTGTATCTGGTTCTTTTGGACTAGGTATTATGCTAATGAGAATGAGATTTTTATTTCAATATTTGATATGTCTTGGAAAATTAAGAACTGTTATATAAATTGATGCACAACTTCTTTTGACTTGGCTATAAGGCATATACCAATCAAGATTGAGGGCTAATCCAATTCAAATATCAGTTTTATCTTTTATAAAAAATGACTGTTCTTGTTTATCTAAAAATTTTTACTAAACTTTTCTAGTGTAAATATCACCTAACACATCCTTCTCAATTTGTCACTTAAATAGTAAATTTATTAATTTTTTATTTGATTCATCTGCTAATATCGATGCCATTCTTGTAATAATGGATTGGTAAGGATAAATTGTTTGAGGCTAATTTGAAGTAACTGTTATGTTAATTCTTTTAATTACTATAAAATACCAAAATAAAATAACTTAACTTTATATTTAAGTTTTCCACCTAATTCTCTAATAGTCTTTGTTAAGACTCTTTAACATATAGGATATTTTGTATATTCAAAGGTTTTTAAATACAATTTCACAGATGAATAAAGAGAATGACAATGTGAGCACACTATATATTTAAGAACTGATTTAGGTTGTATAACAATTTTTTCAACAAAATATTGACTTTTTGAGAAGGTTTAAAATTGAAGTACATCTATAAAAGTTAATAATTAACTAAAAAAAATAAATAAAGTTATGATTCTAGTTTTGGTAATTATAAATGCCCTTTGAAATAAGAATAACCAAAGAATAATTTATTGTATTATATAAATTTCTTTTAAAAGTAGTAGATTATGTAAAAGTTGTACTGGATTATATAATAGTTCTGAAAAGATATCTAAGATTTCTGGTGATCTTGAATTAATTTTTAATAATAAAGATAAAATAACTCTTTCATAACCTTCATTATCAGTTTCTTTACTGAAATCAATTTCTTCATAAATACTATTTCTATTCTGCTCTGAATTATTATTTTGGTTACTTTGATTAGGACTATTAGAATTATAATTATCACTTTGACTATTTGTTGACAAACAATCTAATTGCAATATTGATAATTTTTTTGGTTTATAAATTAAAACCTTATTTGATGTTTCCCATTTTAATAACATTTAATATTAATTAATAAAAATAAATATTTCAAAGTAAATTGTTAACATTTATGACAATTATGGCAAATTAAAATGAAATTAGATTAAAATAAAATTTTATATAGTATAAAATAGGTGAGTTGTAAAAAAATATGAAATTTTGGGATGAGATTTTTTAGTCTTTCTTTAGTGCTATGGGTTAACTTGAGTGTAGAATTAATAGTAAACAAGTATAAGTGGGATCAGAAGGTTAAATAGAAATTTCAAATTTTATTTTAATCTGATTTTATTATGATCTGTGATATTTGTTTTTATCTCATTATATTCTTGAAGTTAGTTTTCGATTATTTCTATATGCAAAGATGTCTCTGCCATATTTATACTATCTCTATGGTTTTCAAATTCATTCAATTGTGTGTCAAAATAATCTACATCATCTTTGTTATTAAAGTTACTTTGGTCCAATTGTGTGTTAAAATAGTCTGTCCCATTTTTATCTTCAAAGTTACTCTGTTCATTGAAGTTTTAAGCTTTTGACTTATTAAATTTGTATGAAATATCATATGAGGCAAAGAATTTATTGGAGTAGTAGTTATATAGTAAAAATGACCCTTCTGATGTTGTCACTAAGTTCTCTATGATAAAGGTTTGCCACCTATTATTCAACATTTTGAACAAAAACACTTAAATATTACATTAAAAATAATATATATAGGTAATATAGTATTAAATTAATATTTGTTAACTAAAGACTTTGTTATTATTTCACACTTGTTATATTTATTCATAATGTTTACTTCTCTTACACACCCATGCATAAATAATACCTTACAATATACAACGAATTATTTAATACAATTTTATTAAAAAAAATAAAGTTTGATCAAACATATTTATATTATTTGTAAAATAAACTATTGTAAAATAAAGTTATGTCATTATTATGATCAGTATCATCATTATATAAACTCCAATACTATGTATTCTAGAAATTTTTAATTAGTATTTCAAATATTTTTTATTAGTTTTTGAAAAATTTTTTATACATATTTTTATTTTAATTTGATAATAAATACAAAGGTTTTTTAATAGTAATTCAGTAGTTTTTTTAATGATGATTATTGTTGGAAAACTTTAGAATTAACTTACTATTTTTTACAAACATTTTTTAATGTAATACTTTTAAAAAAGATCTACAGTTCTACCTGTGTCAGTGGCACTGTCATATTTCCACTGATCGACAATTTTTTTAAAGTCATAAAACTGTGCATTAGAGCCAGGTTTATAATTTTAATGTTACTTGTCTTATACTAAAATTTTTTTTAACGCGCAAAAGGTGGTTACATAGACAAAATAGTAGTTTTTGTTTTGATTTCATGTTACACAGATCATGTAATCTAATTGGTCAATCGCTGTCGATCAGTGAAAATCAGTCAGTACTGTATATTACGAATAGAGTGTATAACATGTCCTATGTAAAAGAAAGTATATAATAAAGGCTTCGAGCTCTACGAAGAAACATTCGTTGTTCGTGATCTGTCCCCTAATAATAATATCCTGCTTTCATTATATAATACTACCTACAATCATAAATTATCCACTCGCCAAATATAACACGAATCTTCGACTAAGCCGACTTGTAGGCTACACGACGTATCCGATTGAGAAGCGACTGACTCGCTGTTTAAGGGTGTCAGTGCATTTGACTAATATTATGTCATGTGAGATTCATAATATCCAATCCAGTTATAATATCGACATATATTCATTATCGAATTTGGAGTTTTTCAAATTTGTTTTTTTTTTTTTTTTGTGTAAAATAAAAATATTTATATAGAATAAATAAAAATTTAAAGATTCATAATCCATAAATGAATGTTTAAGTGAAATAAAATTTAATAAGACTATGTTTATTATTAAAAATGTATTTACATAATTCTTAAATTTCTAGCATATATAATTATTTAAAACCATAAATCAGTAAAATAATATATTTTATAATAAACCATTCGAAATTTTTTGAGCAAAACACCTTTGAGAATAAGTGTAGGTTTTATTTTCGTTTGCTTCCTTAACAAAAATGTCCAACAAGTCAATATATTCCTCATAAGTTACACCCAAATATTCAGGGACAAAGACAAAGCTTTGGAAAAATCTACGAATATTGATCACCGACTACGAAAAAAGGAGATAATAAAATAGATTAAGATGTATAGTATACTTTTATAGCATAAACTATTGAAAGTATTATTTTTATAGCATAGACCATTGAAATTATTATTTTACTTACGCATTTACCGAAATATCCAAACCATTCGCCTATTGGATATTCTACTTTAATACATTGTATATTTGTAAGCTCTTTATTTGACTCAAACATTTTTGGCATCAAAGTACTAATTAGAAAATTAATGCCTTTTTCTTTAATGCAAGCTTTACGAACTAAAATAAATCAAATAATGATTAATTTATTTAATACCTTTACATTAATAGAATGTAAAAAAAATGCATTTTAAGTACTTTACTAACCAGCCTCTCCAATGCAATTTGTAACTTTTCCACAATTTATTAATATACCAGTTCCTTCTAAAGATTCTATCCATCCTTCATATTTTAAAACTCTGATAATATCTTTGATTAATTTGGACCATTGCGAATCGGTAAATGCAGAAAACATCATGCCCAAATAAACAAAGTCAAAAGTCTCCATAGGGAATGGAATTCCATAAATTACATTGGATGTAAGAAAACAGACGTTTGAAGGACATTTATCATTCGATGGAAAAAACGAAGAATTTACATCAATTCCTATAAATGTTGAAGATGGATATTCTAATGCCATATCAATTATCCAGTTACCAGAACCACAACTTTTAAATTTAAAGAAATTAATTTCGTATACAAAATTCAAACATATAACTATTATTTTATGATATATATACAGTATATACAGTATATGTATATATTTATATAATGGGAAATATATTTACCCAATATCAAGTACTTTAGCACCACCATTTTTCAACTTTTCTACAATTGGAGAGCGAAAGTTACCTTTCCAGGCATGTTTATTTAATATATGTGACAGAGTTCCTCTATCAGCCTCCAACTTATCAGATGGTAATGTATAAGTTAAATCTTCAATATCGAAGAAATCTCTTCCGTTTATTGTTTTATATTTATTCAAAATAGGTGAATTAACTTCATCTATAACTTCATCCATACTTTTATCATCATCAATGAATGCTAAAGAAAGTGTTAGACGTTTTTCTTTTGAGTTGCCAGATGCATCAGCATGAATTTTAGAGTTATCGGACTTCATTATTTCATATAATATTTAAGAAAGTAGAAGTTTTATCGTATTTAATAATTTTTTTGATTTTTTAGGTACACATATTTACTGTTTAGACGGAATTTCAGAATTTCAATGTGGCTAAAGACAAGTATTAACAAATATTTACAAAACATAATCCAAACTAAATTTATAGTTGATTATTCGAGATATTTTTGTCCAATTTTGTAATAGTGTATTAAAATATAAGATATAATTTGTTGAATTACTTTATTCTTAAGTAAGGGAATAACTTAATTACATGACATTATTACATTACTTTAATTACTATAGTAATCGTATATTACACAATATTTCTACATTTTAGGATCTTGTACAATTACTGATACCTTACATACAACCGTTTTATTGTCAAAGAAAATTATACATAATGTCCATGTTAACAAATTCTCTATTTTGATAGATCGACCAAAAAAAAATTAAACATATGCATGTGAATAAATTTAATTAAAATATGGTTCTCCGAATTTTTAAATGGTCACAAAATTGGATTTGATCTACAAATAATTATTGTCCATTTATGGGGAGTCTAAAGCGGCTTAAGGTTTGATTGGTTTATGTAAACGTAGTGAAACGAAGTGTATCAGTCGTCGATTCTGATTGAATATAATGATTCTTATTAATGAATTTTTTAGGTAATTGTATGATCAGGTAACTTTACAGTTATAGTATAGTATATTACGCATGTTATGCATGGCGTTATATGATCCTTTTTTTTTGTTAAATGATTCTTTTTTTTTTTAATATATACGTATTTGGCCGTTTAAAGTTTATTAGTTGGTTAACATCAAAATTTGTGCTCAGAAGTGAGGGCCTAATGATATTTGATTAAGTCAGTTGTTGTCGCTTTTCTGAAGAAATGCCATTTTTACGAGTCTATAATCCCGATATTCCTTTTTCTCGGCAAGACCCATCTTGGGTACGTTCAATTCGCCGGCACCTTATTTTACCGTCATTTCACCAACCAAGTAATTTTGTCATTGTCGTTAGCTTCTGTTTAGAATTATAGTTAAGGTTAGTGCAATTTTTAAAAAAATTTGCCGGTAAAATAATTATTATTACAAATAAACTTGGATGACACGGAACCATTTTTATACTGTTAGTAAATGAATTTTTGGTATTACGACTTCGGTGAAATAGTACTGCAGAAATTAACTAGTAACCGATTAAATCTTTAATATCATAATTAATGATCTTTATACTGTATTGTGATTGGCAGCTCACCGAAAGAGGCTAACTTTATTAAATGTTGAAATATTTGCTACTTTTCATTTTTTTAACTCTAAGTTTATATAATTATGCTAATAAATCTTCTACAACTTATAACAGTTTTATAGTTGGTTTGTTTAATAATTCTGTCAATAGTAATTTAGTAATTAGAATTATTTTTAAAATATTTTCATTTTAAAGAAGACTGCCATTTCTAAGTAAATCTTTATTATCTTTCAAAATAATATTATTTTGGCCATTTTTTTGCATTGGATTACTAAGTAAACACGGAGTGTATGTTATAGTTATTGTATGGGTTGTAAAAAATAACTAAATTTGCACGGGTTGACGTTACATGGCTGAAGGCCATGTAACTCCGTGCAAATTTAGTTATTTTATAACCCGTATAATAACTATTTTATTGCACAGTGTCTGACGTACAATCCCGTGCCAATAAGTAAATGAAAAAGCACGGGTTGTTACATAAGACCCGTGCAATAAATAATAAAACACTGCAATCTATGCATTTTTTTATTTGTAAAAATTTATTCTTTGTAATCCAAATTAATAAAGAAATTTGACTATAATGTAGGCTAATAATATGAAGTCGTGAGTTATAAAGCCTATAGATTTTGTGAGGAGAGTTAAGGCAAAAAAGTAGTGCTATAACTGTATAACTATTATTAAATAAAATTAAAAACCAGTCTGATATTAGAGGAGCAGTAAAACCATTTTGCTATTTGTTTTATTAGTTATTAGTGCTTTATGATAGGATTAAATATTTATTTTTTTTTATTTTTTATTTTATTTTTGTTTGCTCTTTATTTTAGTTTATTGTATAATGAGACTAAGTAATTTTGATAATAATAATAAATTTATAATTTTTTTATTTTTTTAAATTATATTATTTTTAATAACTTAATTTATTTTAAATAATTTTATTGTCAAAATATTCTCTTTAAGATGTTTCTAACAAACTTAAAATTATTTAAATCTAATTACAAAATTGTAAGTTTAGTATTGTCAAATAATGATATATACTTTATATAAAATTGGTTAGTTAGTTATATGTTTATCTAATTAACTCTATATAAAGATGTATCATTATTTGACAATACTATATCTTATAATTCTGCAATTGGATTTGAATAATTAGTATCATCTTAAAGAAAATATTTTGATAATAAAATTTATTTAAAACAGATTAATTTATTGCAAACAATAATAATTAATTTGCAAATTTTTACAATATATTAACTAGTATAATACATATGAATGGTTTTATTAACTTATAAAAATTGTAGTTAGCATATTAATTGTTTTATCAAATTAGACAAATAATTGGCTATTATGTATTGTATAGCAGTTAATCATTTGCTTTAATTATTAAATATATATAGCAATATTAGAAGCAAAAACATTGATATATATATAACTTATATTAATCAAATAAGTTAAAAAATTAAATAACTATTTCTTCTTTTATTAACAATCAATCCACAACAATTACCTTGCATCTTTTAGTTAGACTAACTTACTGACAGTTTATAGTCTATTGCTAATTCTAATTATAATCTAACTATTATTTCATTTTATACTGATGATTCTGTTATTAAGCTTAGTACCTCTCAATGTTCTATAGATATAGAATGGGTCCAAGTTAATAACTCTATAACTATTCACTTATTTCAAACACAAGTTAAAGTTTGGTCATGCTCTTTTAAAGCTAAAATACTTATTATCTTTTTAACAATTATTATCATTCTCAGAAACTGTTTTATTCATATCTTTACTAATTCACAATCTGTAATCTTCAAATATTATAGTATCTGTTCATTAGCTTCTATACTCTCTTATACTCATACTTCATACTTTTTATTTGACAAACTCTTATCAACATAATTAATTTTTATAACATTCAGTTTATTTTTTACAAATTTATTACATGCCAAGATGATCATTTAATAATCTTACTGATCAGCTTGTCTACAATTATCAAATACTACTCTTTTTAATATTTTTAAATAACAACTCTTATAACTCTGTATATACCCTATTTATTACCTAATTTCCTATTAAGATTTCTATTTAATGTTCTATTTGTACTATCTGTCAAGCTTATATCATAATACTTTGAATATCTCAACATCATTTTAATAATAGTCTACTATTATATCTAATATTAACTAGGAAACCACTTGGCTTTACATTAATAATAATTAAAAAGTTTCTAACTTTGCCTATAGCTTTTATTTCTCTATTTTAAAAGCTTTTTATATTAAAATTTTCTTGAATAAACTATCTATTTCTCATACTCTTTACAAACATAATTCTTCTTAATCTTCTTTCTGTTATTAATATAATCAAACTAGTTTTTATTACACTGGATTTTTTGTTTTTCATTTAAACAATTTTTCACTAAATCTCTAATTCTCTTAATTACATCTTAAATGCTACTATTCTTGACATGTTCACTAATTCTGTTTTCTAATTTATATCAAAAAAATCTATACTTAACAGTTTTAAACCTGTACAACTTCTCTCATATAACATCTATGATTTTTATTCTATCTAACTTAGTCTCTATCACCTTATTTTTACTATTTATAATATTTCTATTTCTTATTATATAATTACTTCTCTTTCTACTAAATTTCTTCTTCCTTTAAATCAACAAATATATAAACAAATATGAATCTTATATTGTATTTCATATTTAGTATTGTCTTTAATTACATCTTTTACAAACTTAACTTATAATTCTTTTTCTAGTCTACTATCTCAATATTACAAATTATTACTAAAATTGATTTTTGGACTATTCAATGAATTAAATATTATATATTTTTTTATATATTATTACTAACACCCAAATCTAAGTGAGTCTTGGTTATTTTTGTAGGTTTAGATTACAGATTATATGTCTAAGTCTTTATTCTTCATATATAATTTAAAAGCAAGTTTTTTTTTGTAAAAACTTCAATTAAATTTTAATAAAATTAAAGGTATGATCTCACTATTAATATTAAAGAAAAAAAATAATTTGATAATCAAAACATTATTTAATATTAAGTTTCTAGTTAGATAATTATTTAAATAAACAGTTTTCATTATATAAAATACTTAAAATAAATAAGTCATGTCATTTTTTATGTATTTAAAAATTATCATTACTATAGTTTATTTTGATAATTAGTAATTATTAATTAATCTTACCTATAAAATTTCTAACAAAAATATAAAAATTAATTAAAATTTAGAATTAATTTAATTATTCTAAGTAAAATATAAAAAAAATAAATATATAAAGTTTTTTTAATAACAGTTTAATAATTTTATAAGTATTCATCAAAATTTATTATATAAAATATAATTATCAATTTAATATTGCAATTAATATTAATATTGTAGTTAATAATGAAGTTGTTTTTTAAAATAATAAATGAAAAATTATCTTTTTTAGAATTACAAGAAAGTTTGAGTTATAGATATGCTAAATAGCTATTTTATATATACATATATAGCAAATAAGATAATTAAAATTATATATTTTTATAAATAAAAAATGTCAATTTACAAATATCTATATTGCATAATTATATATATCAAATATGAAAACCAGATTTATAGGTTCTTAATACTTTAAAACCAATAATTAAATGTAATTTAAAGTCAAGAAGATTATTTTAAAGTTATAAGAAGTTATATTTTATATTAAAATTTTACAAAAAATATTTTTATTAAAATTTAATGTTATTTCATAATTAAAATTTTAAGATATTAATTTCAAATATTATGTATAAATGGATTTATATTGTTATAAAAAATTTTTAATTCTAATTAAATAACATTATTATTAAAATTTCTTTTTTTTAGTTTAACAAAAACTAATATTAGAATTTATTTAACTTTTTTAAAATAATTATAATTTAACAAAATACAATTTTGTAATTAAATTTTTATATATATATTAAAATGTTGTAAACATAAAAAAACTATTTTTGTAATAATACAAAATTAATTCAGAGTTATAATTATAAATCTAAATTATTAGAAATAAAGAATAATTAGTTAATTATTAAATTTTTTTTGCATAACATATAAAATTAAGTTTTTAACAATGTTATAAATAGTTGTTGATCTTATTAAATTTTAATATTATTAATTTATACAGTATTTAGAATAAGCAGTCAATTTAAGTAAAATTAGTATTCTAAATTGGATATTTCAGTTTGGCATGTCTGAAATCTGTAACAGAATATGTTAATCATTGCTAATTTTAGCCAAAAATTTAAAAAACATTAAGAAACAAAAAAATCATAAATAATATAATTTTATTATGATAATTATGAATATAAAGTAAATGATCTTTATGCTGTTTAAAAAGCATTGCACATATATAACATATTACTAATTTGAATGCATCTATTCAATAGTGCTAAATATAAAACTTTATTGATTAATTTTTTATTAAATATGCAGTATACATTAGTGCAATTGATATATAAACTAAAATAAAATATGGTCCTAGAAATAGCAACTATAATTGCACTAGATATTACTGTTATTAATTGAATTTATAATGCATAGTATTAGCCAGTAGTCTTCTACATTGCATAAAGCAGGCTGACTTTGATATGAAGTTACTAGTTGTTACAAAATAGCAGAATTCTAAATAACTTCTAATAATAATAAAAATTATACTATTTTGTTTAAATATATGTCCTTATACTTGATCTTTTTAATAAACATTTTTGGTTTTTTTTAAATTCTAATAATAATAAAGTTCTAAAATTTATTTTTATGCAATTATTAATCAGAATATTTCTTGTGTAAAATTGTGACTACTGTTGCAAAATGTGCTTATTGTATTTGTAAAATATATCTGATTACTATTGATCTATTTTTTGAATTAATAGTAGTTGAATGTCTTAGTACTAGCTTAGTAGCACCTCTAATATAAAAACTGTATTCAGCTATATTGGCATTGGGTAAAAATAATCTTAGGCAGCTTATAAACTAATTTTTTATTGCTAATTTATTATTAGTCTTAATAAATAGTACACTTTTTTCTTGCATATACATTATATTTGTTCTGAAAAGTATGTATATTTTTGAAATCTAAATTGAGTATAAATCATTTTTTATTAAGTTAATATTTAGTATTAAATACTCTATAATTTTGTAATTTTTTGTTCTAGGTAGCTAAATT